CCCTCCACCGTGGTTGTATTTCTTTTGTGTACAATCTCGCCTAATTTTAATAATTCAATAGGCATATTGATGTACAGTTATATATATAGATTGTGGCATAAACTAACAAATGTTTTTATGAAAAAAAAAACATATATTTGCAGGAAAGAAGCTTTTTTAACATGGGATGACACCTACTGCACACAAATCAGAGGATTCATTTGTGAAATTGGTATGAGTTTATCTTTTGTATATGTATATGTATATGTATATGTATATGTATATGTATATATAGTCGTCAACGTCAAAGGAAATAATCTAATGTCCCAGCTCGAAATCTTCTAACAGACATTTTATTTATTTTCAGATGCTGGCTGCAAGTAAAACTATATCATATGTTGACATGGATTACTTCGATAAATGGAAACTTCGTACTTAGACTAATTTGCATATCGAAACTTTCGTGATTATTTGCATATCATTAATATTGTAAATCTTTCGACAAATTGCGCATCGTAAATTCCGTAATATCAGAGTCGATTTAGCTGTGAACGGTACTACCTTCCATGAGTTACCATACTTTACATACTGTGCTACCTGGATGACAATACTATCATTATTTAACAGTGTAGTGAACTGTTCTTCAGGGGGCAGGTTGTGAAAGGAGTCAATCACATCAGCAGATGCATCAAACAGAACACTGCAGACTAGTTCTCAAATCAATGTTTTTGATATTGATAAGGTACGATTCCATACTGATATTGAATTTAAATGTTCTGAGTTTTTTTTTTTTTTTTTAATTTCTTCTTTCCAATAGGATATAAATTTATGTTTGAGGTTGGACTTGATGATATTGAATTATTTCTGTTGCAGTTAATTTATCACTTTTATTAATTAAACATTCCGGATTAATATTCTTCAGCAAGTCTGTAATTTCCAAATATCACTTGGTTTTTAAGCTTTTATTAACTGAAAAAGCTTCTTTAAGAAAAACATTTTTAGTATTTTGAATGCGGTTGTAATATTGTATTAATTGATTTTTAATAAATATATCCAAAGGGTATCTTCCTAACTCGCTGTAAATTCCCATAATTGGGGTTCTTTAAGAGACTCAAAGGAGATATCGACAGTATTGAACAATAATGTCCTCAACTGGTGATTTGAATGAGAACTCGTCACCCCACACATCACTACCATAAACAAGTATCGGTCGTATTAATTTGTCAAAAAGCGATAGTGACAAGGTGATGGACAAATTGTGTATTGTGCCTAATCTACTTTTTGAAAAAAAAAGCAAACATAAAGCAATATCGATATTGCTGATGCTTTTGATTGTTGACTGTAAAGGGAGAAATTCAATTGGTATACGGTTTTGTTTGTCTGGATCTGTGTCGGACCATGGAGCTAAATGGTCGGACGTTTCGTAATATATAAGGATATTGAACGCACTTTTTCAGATGCAATATGAATCTGCAGAAACACACACGAGATTCGAACTGACGAATATGGCGAAGCGCATTGTATCTGTAAACAGACGTGCACTAACCAGTAGCTCTTTAAAATAACCCTTATTAAGCAAACATAATCTCGGGGGCGAACATCCGGGCATTTTCACTGCCTGGCAACCATCATGGTGACCGTAAAATTATCCGGAAATGGTACTTTGGAATAGTCTTTGGAAAGACTCCCTGAATAGTGTGAAAAGATTACCCCTGCATGTGCAACATATATCAATTTTGTTGTTAAGGATTACTTCAAAAATGAGTTTGTGTTTTTTTCTCGAATTTAGCTATTTTCACCAGCTCTTCGACCGGCGCGGCGTTCCACAGCAGCTCGCGCAGGAGCCGTAGAATACATGGTACATGGTGCGCCTTTAGCATTTATAGCGTTATAGTGGTGTGACGTAGCTCCGCCCGAGGATCTTTTTAACATCACAGGGGCGTCGATCTATTCTGCAAAGTGGGAGGGGGAACATTTGTGTTGCCGCGTAAGCGGCCAATGTCTACGCTTCCGCGGACATGGGGGTGTCTGAGAAGGGATGTGCCTCCCTCAGAAGGTAGAAATTTTTGAAAAATGCAACCGAAATGAAGTCATTTGGTGCATACTTTTCAGATAACTTTTGATGTATTTGATTCCACATTGACCAATCACATGGTCTATCTATCCATCCATGACTTGTATTTGGGGGATTTCCATATTAGGAGTCGTTTACAACAACATGTTCAATATAATGTTCCGGAATGCTCTGTTTTCTTCTTTTTGCTTTCTCATTGTTTCAGGTAATTCCTACACACACCAGATTGATCATTGTTTATCATTTTTATTATATTATCATATTTATCCAGTTAACTGCTTTAACTTATAAAATGATTATACATAATCAAATAAAATATAATTATTTAGGGGCAAATGTTGCTCGAGAAATTAGACTTTATAATGAACTTGCGCTGAATGTTGGCATATGTCTAAATACTACTCAACATTGTTGACGTTGAGCACATGCATTATAGTCAATTAAACTCATTTTACTAATCAAACCTTCCAAAAGCACGGCGTCTGGAGTCTGAGTGGCTGACAAACTATTTCTCTGATGTTTACCTGTTGCAGACGTTCACGGTGGACGTTAGAAACCATAAGATGGTTTAACCTCTGCTGAGTCATAGTGCCACGAAGCCATGTCTTCATACGTTAAAGAGTACTGAAAGATCGCTTTGCTTCTACAGAGCTGGCAGGAGAGACGAGTAGTAGTCGCAGTAGATTCAATGAAAATATTATTGCATTTTCAAAATAAAAAACCTGAAATGAAAACTTCAAAGGTATAGATTAACAATTATTGTTAATCTTTGATTATTGTTAATTATTGAGCCGCCTGCTCAAATGCTGATTTGTTCTGATACCGTGTGATGCCTAATGTATCAAGCTGTGCTACTAAAGAGTGGGAAAGCACGAGCCATCGACGGGAACATCACACATAATCTTCATTCCCAGCGCATTAACATTAGCTTCTAATTGTTGTCTCTCTGTCTTGTGTCGCTTCTCAGTAGACAACCCACTTGCACCCTGACGTTTCTTCGAATTAAGTATCTGCAAAAAAAAAAAGTTAATTTGTTTATCATAGCTGGAAATACTAGTAATACTGTATGCTATTATGTCTAAATATTCACAGGCCTATTGAAACTATAAACAGCATTTGCAGCAAAGCATTAGACCTATTATATGAGTACCACTCCACCCCCAAATGGAGCTAGTTAGAGTGTAGACCTATAGCTTTTTCGGCTCAGCCTAATATAATTTATTTACCTCAGAACTAACTCAATTTAGGCCCTATGTATAGTCACAGTCAGCTGGCGCACACGTAAGTATAAAATAAATATGATATTTACTATACGGGGCCGCCATTTTGAATGCTACATAAAACTAAATAAAAGACAAGTTGTGAAACGCGTTTTTCAGATTCCTACAAATATGAGAAAAAATACAAATCTTTCACAGCCAAACGATCCGTTGGCGTTATATTAAGCCAACCGCTAACAAAATTCGACCAAATTCATAGTTTTCGTATGGAAAAATCCCTTGCACACGAACACCTGATTACACAAATAACATAGAACACTTTCCCGGGGTATTTGAAACTGTAAGGCGGTTGCTGATTGGCCGGTGAGTTGAAATGACAATTTTTGGTTTCAAATACCCCATGAAAGTCTTCTATGTTCTTCGTGTAATTAGGTATTCGTATGCAAGGGATTTTTCCACACAAAAACGCCTATTTTACATTAGCAGAAAGTACTGAATTAAAGTCATATACTTAATAACTGTGATTTGTCAACGTAGGTAGATATAATTAAAGGCTTGTGTAAATTCCCCGGGTAAATTCAGATTGAACGGGGGACTGAATTTACCTTTCGCGGGGTTAACGTAGACAGCTCGTATCCATAACTTGCTACAATTCGGCTACTCGGTCTTGCGAGTCCCGCATTACACTCCTTAATGCCTGAAGAAAGACTAGCAGTAATATTGCGGGATGCGGGCTATTTTTATTTGATGAAGTGCAGGAAAGTTTTGCAAACCATCGTGCGATGCTGGGAAGAAACTACCATTATCGTAAAGGAAGACTTTAATAGGCCGATTGTTAATCAATGGATTTTCTTGATCATTAAGAATACATTATATGTACACAGAACCAAAGGCCTTACACAAACGCGAGCTGGGATATAAGCCTATTATTGATACTTGGGTAAGTCTGGAAAGTGGGGGGGCAGTTGATATTGTGTCCCCCACTCTTCAGAAAGTGGGGGCGTGTCCCCACCCACCCCCATGATCGACGCCCCTGTGACATCATGATAGACACTGATTACTAAACTGGGTAAACTCTTACCGATAATGTTACGCTAATGTCAGAAAGGCATGGCAACAAGGAGGTTGATGAGGACCATTTACTGATACTGATTCCGTTATTTTTGTTTTGTCCAAAAGTTGTGATACTCTACGTGAAGAACCTTTGTTGCGCTGTAACAAATTACCGAATATCTGTAATTATCGAAATGAATCATTCACTTATCAAAATCGAGATCATTTTAGCAAATGTTTTATATATCGCCATTATGCATGACTGAAAGGTAAAAGTACTGGTCAAGTTTCGTCCAGCAGTCGTGAACATCTTATGCGTAGTAGAACTGTTGTTTCGCTGATTACAGATTTTTGATTATCTGTAATTAGCGAAACAAACTATTTACTGATTAAGATCCCGTTATATTTGGCAAATGTTTGTTGTCGTTATATACATGACTGATTATGGCATGTACTTTTGTCATTCAATGTTTTTATGTTCTATGTACGATTGGTTGAATGTTCGAGTTGAATGTAATTAATGTACTATCGAAACAGCAAACCAGTTCCCTTAATTTATTTATGAATACAATATATTCTGTTGACGATGAAATAACATTGAAACATGTTTTCAAATGACACGATCATTACGCAAATTCACATCGCTCGTTGATTGGCTGGTTCGATTCAACTGCCACTCGAATTTATAAATGTTTAGAGTAATGGGTTAATTGTGTAGGTAGTATTTGTATGTTTGGAACGAGGAGTAAATAATATCACGTGACACAAATATAACCACGAATATAGAAAATAATATCGATTACGATTTACCAAAGAAAGTTTGCATCTTACTTAACTTTGTATTTCAATACAATGAGCAAAAATAAAAAAAATGACCTAAAGAAAATGATCAAATTAAATGTGTTTACCATACATATAAACACATTCCCTTTGAACCACGCCCTCTTGCGGCCAAGCAATCCTGTAACATGAATTGCTGAAAAAAAACACCGCCCACAATGTTGATATTTATTTCCCCCCCCCTGAGGGGGGGGGGGGTACTCACATTGAAGTGCTATATGTATACGTGCCGCCAAAAGGGGTCCTAAATTCACCACTTATGTCTGAAAAAGGGTATTTTATTTTACCCTGTCTGTCTGAAAAGGGGTATCCTTTTTTTATTATTTCTGTCTGAAAAGGAGTCCATATTTTCCAAAGACTGTCTCTAGAGCTTGAGTTATCCAACAATCAGGAGAATGAAGCTAATTGTTTCTTTCTGTAACTTCGTTTCGATCGTCAAAGTCTATCCCCGGGGTGTCAAATATCAAATAAAGGCAATTTGAGTTTATTTCTGCCTGATAAGGGGT